ATGGGTCTCTGCCATTGACCTTCCCTCCAGCTGAACTGCGAGAATGAAGGCCGCGGCTCCGCTAAACATCATGGGTATGATTTTCAAAAGCACCGAGTGACTTAGACAAGTGTCATTTTCAAAAGTGACATAGGAGTGTGTCACATAACCACTGTTTGTGCCTTTGAAAATCTCTCCCTGAGGATCACTGAAAGTCAATGGGACTGAAGCTCCTAAGTCACATTGGCACTTTTGGAAATTTTACCCGAGGTGCTTAAAGTTAAGCATGCGTTTAAGTGCTTTGCTGAATAGGGATGGAGTGAAACATGCTTAGATGCTCTTACAGCATCTGCGTCACTGTCTGCCTGGGGGACCTGACTCCATCCCTAGGCCAAGGAAATGCATTTGGGATGTCTGTTTTCTTTGTGTTAATGATCCTTTCAGCTTCAGAATAGCAGGAGATGCACTTTGAGCCTCACAGCTCTGATTGTCAGAGCCCATAATTCCCGTCAGCTCCAAAGGGAGTGGCAGAGATTGGGCTCCCTGAAAATCAGGCCTTGCATCCGGTGGGATACGTGGGCTTTATAAACTATTCCTAGATTCAGAGGTTGAGGTCAGAAGGGACCATTCGATCATCTACTCTGACCTCCTGTCTCCCACAGGCCTCTGTATTGAGTCCAATAACTGTGAGTGAGGAGGTGACTCAGCCTCTGTCCTCGTGCCTTTCCTCCTTTGCTTTCCTGTCGCCCCTTCCTTTTGCATAAAAGCCGGGAGTTTGTCCCCTGACAAGGTGTGTTCCCTTTTCCCATGGGTGGAGGCCAGGCTGAAGTCTCATGAGCTGGAGTGTAATAGCAGGGCAGGTCTGGTTGAAAGCCTTGTGCATTTGGGTACAGCCCAGTTTGCAGGACAGTTCTAGGAAGAACCCCCCCCCCAGGGGAACCTCCTGGAGTTTCCCCCCAACATTCAGGTCCTCTCTTGTGGGTTTTCCTGTGTGGGAGAGTAGCTTGGCCATTAGGGTTTGTCTACATTGTATCGTAAACCTGGGTCTGTGGGACCTCAGCTTGTGGACTCTGTGTTCCCAAGCCCACACTTGAGCATCCTCACTGCATTGCAAAACTCAGGTTTTACAATTGCGGGACCCACAACTGTGCTAGGGTCCATTCTGTGGGACGCAGACCGTCTGACTCGGGTCTGCAGCTTGAGCGGTGTCCACACTGCAAAATATAGGGCTTGGATCCGAGCCCCAGTGTGACTCGGGCTATGACCCCCATCCCCTTTAGCAGGGTCCTAGGACCCAGATCCTGAGCACTCACTGATCCAAGTCAGACTGATTTGTGTGTGGATGGAAGAGGGGCTTGGGCTCACTCCTTAGTGTGCAATGAAGACATATTCTGTGTCTCATTGGTAGTCTGTGACTCCAGCCCTGTCTCTGATGGAGTTAACCAGGGCCACTCACTATGCCTTCCATAGTCTCCACATTCCCTGAACATTCGCCACTGGACATTATGTCCCCTGGCCCTACCACATCTACTGTGCTCCGTCATCTATGATGTACTAGAGGGCAGAGATTCTGATCTTCCAGTCCTTGGCCAGACAAAACTCCCATTGACTTCAGCGTGAGTTTTGCCTGCTCAGGGATTACAGGATCTGTTTATTTGCATTTGTATAACACTATTCCAGAAGAAATGTGTTCCTTTGATTTAGGTATGCGCCAAACAGGGGCTCAGTTCTGCTCTTGTTGAAGTCTACGGAACCCAGGAGTTAAATCTCACTGAAACTCCACAACACGTTTCAGCAACGTACTTTGATGTTCTGTCTCTGCATTTTAAAATTACCTTCCCATAATGACAGTAAAGGTGGCAATTTCTTAGGCATCTAAAAAGTCCGGCCTTTACATGTTCATGTTGCTAATGTAGTTGATAGTTTTATAGACGTGTTGGCTTGGTTTAGTCATGTTCTGCGACTGTGTGAAAAAATAACAGTTCTAGCACCTTAGTCCTGCAGATATTTATGCATGCGTGTAAAGTTAGGCACAGATCTTGCAGGAACAAGTGTTTATGAGTGTGATAATTAAACAGTTTTCTGCATGTAGTAATGCGTCTTTCCACAAGATGGTGCTCTGAGCATATTGATTCTGATGCAGTGTGTGTTTGTTGAAAGCCAGCTAATTACTGAGAAACATTTGTTATTTCAACCTCAGTGGAATTCATGAGCTCAGTCCAACAAAGCGTTTCAGCACACGCTTAACTTTCAGCAGGCCAGTAGCCCCCGATTGCGGGCTTAAGTGCTGTGCTGCACTGCAGCGGTGCATTATTCTGTGTGAGTATCTGTATTTGGTCCTTTCCACCAAAGCCCATGGTGATTATCCTGCTACAAGGCTTTTCAAAATATAAATGGAGGTTTGTGCGTTTAACGTTAAACATTGAATCCCACATGAATCATGCGCAAATTAATTTTTTTAAATAAAAGTCGTTCAGGAAAGACACACGATGTTTTAAGAACAGGAGTACTTGTGGCACCTTAGAGACTAACAAATTTATTAGAGCATAAGCTTTCGTGGACTACAGCAAAGCTTATGCTCTAATAAATTTATTAGTCACTAAGGTGCCACAAGTACTCCTGTTCTTTCTGCGGATACAGACTAACACGGCTGCTACTCTGAAACGATGTTTTAATTGTACTTTGGGTAACGCCCCGGTACACATGTGGCAATTCGGAGTGCTACAAGATAGATTACATGTATAGTCAGGGGGGCCTTGAGGTGAAGGCATTAGCTTGGAACTCAGGAGATCTGCTCTGGCTCTTCACAGACGCCTTTGGCCAAGTTACATAGGGCCTGATTGAAGGCCACTAAACAACGTGCGTCACTGTTAGCGCGAGCTTCAAGTCAAGCGGCGATTAAGTGATTTCCAGAATGGTGGTCGATTTTAAAATCGGGTGGAAGTATGTTCTTGAATTGTGACCTTGCTCTCTCTGCCTCAGTTCCCCATCTGTAAAATGGAAACAGTTGTCTTGTTTGCCTTGCCTTTTTCTGCCTTGTCTGTTTAGGCTCTGAGCTGTTCGGCGTGACAGCGCTTCAGGGTACGTCGACACTGCAGCTGGGAGTGAGCCTCCCGGCCCGGGTATCCAGACACACACTGGCTCTGCTCAAGCGAATGTACTTAGAAATAGCAGTGTGGCTGTGTTGGCCTGCGCTAGCCACCTGAGGGGCTGGGTGGGCTGCAGCCAGCCTGTGCCGCAACCGCCGCGCTTCTGTTTTTAGCCTGAGCAGAGCTAGAGCGTGCCTGTCTGCCCGGGCGGGAAGAAACGCCGCCCGCTGCGGTGTAGACATCCGCTGACTGACTCTCGCCATGTCTCTGCACAGCCCTGATCTCAGCTGGGGACTCTCACGGAACACTACTGTGTGGCGGGTCTCATGTAAACCAAACGAAGGCAGTGCTGAACAGCACTTGCCCCGAAACCTGGCCCCGGTGGTATTTGAAAAGCTGCTAACATTTCAGGCTTTGGGGCCAGTTTCCTAGTGCACTGGTGTGTAAATCTGCAGGAATGCCAGCAGCCCTGGGGGGACTGAGCACAGACTGAATGTCATGCTGTTAACTTGGCCAAACCCAAATTCTGGGTCCCTTTTCTGAAGCCTTCTCCCCTTCTCCTCCTGTCACCGCTGAACATCCCACACGCTCCCTGTCGCGAAGGCCTGTGACCTGGTGTCATCTTGGACGCCGTTCCCCTCACATCTGGCTGGTGTCCAAATCTTGCTGCTGCTTCCTCCGTGCTATTCCCAACCCCCTGACCTTTCCTCTCCATCCACACAGCTGAACTTCCCAGGCCTTCCCCGCCTCCCATCCTGACTGCCGCAGTGTCCTTCTCCCTGGGCTCCCGACACCCACGTCGCCCTCTGCCATCTGCACAGCATGCAGCTGCTCCGACCATCGCCCCTGCTGCCAGCCTTGCTATGAATTCTCCGCTGGCCTGGCTCCCCCTCTCCACTGAGCTTCTTGCGATTGCCTTCCAGGTCCTACCTAACGCCGCCCCTCTCTGCCCTGGTCTGGCCTTGCATCCCCTTCCCACCCAATGTTTGCTTCTCCTGCAGCTGTCTCCTGGCTTTCTTACACCCTGGCCCCACCTAGCCTACTTTACATCCCCTCTGAAGTCTCACTTCCACTGCAAAGTCTACGAGACATGCGGACTCATCCCTTCGCTCCTGGGAACCCTTTAGCCAGGGAACCATTGCAGTGGAGCAGGGGTCCCCAACGTGGTGCCCGTGGGCGCCATAGCACCGGCCGGGGCATCTAAGTGTGCCCGCGTACTGGCCGGCGGACGAGCATCTGCCGAAATGCCGCCGAGAAGCAGCGTCATCCAGATGCGTCGCCGCTGAAACGCCACCGATTTTCAGCGGCATTTTGGCAGCGACGCCTCTGGATGACACGGTTTGTTGGCGGCATTTCGGCGGCGACGCCTATTGACATTGCTGCTTGTCGGTGGCATTTCGGCGGATGCTCGTCCGCCGCCACGGTCCTCCGTGGCTCGTCGTCTGACGCCTGCCAGACGAAAAAGGTTGGGGACCACTGCTGTGGAGGGACGGGGCTGGGTCACTGGGGTGGACTCTGGGAGCAGATGGGCCACAAGGCAGTTGAATTGTAGAGTGGGAATATTTTTCACATTTTACTTAGATCAGCACCACAACAGACTTGGACCTACATCAAACATCTGGCAATCGTCACCCAGCTCGCCTGCCTTGTGTGTCATATCCCTTCCCCCACCTTGGGCTGTCTGTCCTCTTAGACTGCATCAGGACTGGAAGCTCTTCAGGGCAGGGCCCGGCTTTTTGTTCTGTGTTTGCCAGACTGGGGTCCTAGGTGCTGTGCTTAGAGAAATAATAACGTCCCGTGCTTCTCAGGGGAGGGACCGAGCCTTCCTCTGTGACGGGAAGGCAGCTAGCATGCCGTGGCCTAAGCAATAAATAATTGTGATTGTGAGTCCAGTCCATGGCCCCATGTTGTCTTCTGTGTTCACTCGCGCAGGTACAGTCACCAGGCGGCGAGGAGCGGGGGGAAAGCTCAAGCAGGCACCCACGAGATGAAAACGAAGGGTCCCGAGCCAGTGATCAGCCAGCTCATCGACAAACTGAAACACATCAACCAGGTGAGTGCGAGGGCGGGGAGTGGGGATGCACCGATAGAAGCAATATGGCTGTCTTCCCCCTTGCTCTGCCTTGAGTTAGTGGGATGAGGAACATGCGGCCTGAGTACCACCACCACAAGTCCCTGGCCCAACAGCTCAGGGTTAGGTCTTAGGCTGGCTTCCCTGGGTTCTCTTTCCTGGTGTTGTGGTTTCTCTGCTTCCTGCCTTGCCCCAGACCAGCAGAGCTCCATGGACTCTGCTCTCGTTCCTGTGACACTAGTGTGGAGCAACGTGTGGTTGCTTTTAAATGCAGCCCTTGGGGGCTTAAGCCTTTGCCGTTTCTGGGCACAGACTGTTTTTGGGCCTTGTGGGTTCAACTATCCAAGTAATAATAATGTGCCCTGTAATATGGCTGTTTCCCAAATTAGCCTGAGAGCAGAGTCTACGTAGGGAGAGCTTTCTTATGAGCTTTCTTCATAAGCTTTCTTCATAAGCTTTTGAACACAAACAGGTTTAAAAAAAGCTCAGTGAGGCTAAAACAAAAGCACACTTTCAAGGCTGGCCTGCAGGTAGGTTTTGCTCTTTCGGAAGTTCCTAGCTGAGTTGGTTTGCTGATGACCTCTTCTTTTCTGCTCCAGTGAACATCAGGGGAACTGTATTCCTAGCATTCCCTGGCTTGAGTCTTTACGTCCCCAAGACACACCTCTGTTACCTCCTATGTGGGTCCAGTAGCAGGCAGTTTTGCATAGGAATTAACTCTTTCTGTGCTCATGTGAAGGTGAGCCATATACAGGGCCGGCTCCAGGCACCAGCCCACCAAGCTTGTGCTTGGGGCGGCACCTGGAGGGGGGCGGCACGGCACTCCGGCTCTGGCCGCCGGGGAGAGTGGAGCCCCGGCCGGGCTCTCCGCTCTCCTCCTGGGGCTCCGGCGCTCTGGGGGTGGGGGTGGGGGGGTGGGAGGCTTTTTTGCTTGGGGCGGCAAAAAAGCCAGAGCCGGCCCTGGCCATCTACACCCTGACACAGAGTAGCAGAACTACTGTTGGGGCACAGATCCAGTTTTCCTTTACATTCATGCATGCCAGCTTGCAGTCCTTTACAATACAGGGTAACAGGTCTTGCTTATTAAAAGGAGAAAAAGGCCTAATCAGGTCCCTATTAAACTTGGAAGAAGGCAGGTTTCAGCCTGCTGCTGGTGGTGGTATTTCGCTATTCACTGTGAGAAAGACACACTGAACCAAACATGCTTATTAGCGTACTTGAAACGGCGGATATAAAATGGTTGGGAAATGCTGGCTGCCAGATTGGGTCAAGTCAGGTCTTTTGCTGATCAGTTCAAGTTGCGGGGAAGCTAAGATTCATGCACTAGGAGACCCAGGGTAAATTAGTCAGTTGAACTGAACTGTGTAGTGGTAAAGCTACAATATATATAGTTTAAAAAACCAAACCAAAATAAAATAACCCCCACATTTTTCAGTTTTGAAACTGAAAAAAAGAAATTGAGAAAAAGGAGGTGTGGAAAGACCAGCGGTGAGTTGGTCACAGGACAGCCACTTACCAATGCTAATACCAGACCAGTAGATGGCAACCAAAGTCTGCCACTTTACCACTATCCAGTTCAGTTCAACTGTGGTTTTTTTACTACATGTAAATATATAGAATGTGACATTTTGAAAAATCAAAGGCCTTTGTGAAAACGTTTACTTTTGGGGAAAGGCCATTTGTCAGAGTTCAGAAGAAAACATTTTGAAAGCAAAAGATAATACCTGAGAACTCGTTATGAACCAGCTATTCATGCCAAATGCATTAAGCCAAGGTAAATGGCTCGGATCCTGGTAAAAGGAAATTGGAGCTTTCTTAGACTTGAGATTTTGGGGGATTGAATCTCACCATTGTGCTTAGTTCCTTGGCTCAGGAAAGTTTCTCTATCTCGTTCACATCTGCACCGACAATGGGCTCCCAAAGAGGAGGAGATGTGAAAAGCAGCAATTCTGGTTGGAAGAAGAACAGGAGTACTTGTGGCACCTTAGAGACTAACAAATTTATTTGAGCATAAGCTTTCGTGGGCTACAGTCATGTTGTAGAATGCAGTGTGGACTCCCAAACTGGAAGAGAGGCGAAAAGTAGCTCATCTGCTCTACTCAAATGGAAAGCGTCTTTTAAAGGAGGTTTCTGCAGGCTTTCGGTGTCTGTTGGAGAAGAGGGGCAATGAAAACTGCTTTTCAGCTATCGGCTCTTCGTGCTCAGGTTTCTGAAATGCATTCTCTGTAGGGATCCAGTAGATAGCACCAATGTCTTTCAAATGGCTCCCAGTCCATTGTTTTGATCAGAGGAGATGCAGCTCTGATCCCAGAGACATATGTACACTCCGTTTCCAGTTAGTTGAGTTCCAAAACATTTTCTTTAACTCTTGGTTGTTGCTAATAGACGTAATTTATGTTTTATGATGTTTTAGCCTTTATTTATTATAGGCTGTTCATGCTATAAGAATGACTGGCTACTTTTCCAAAGCAGGACAAAGCTTCAGAATTCTCTGGAGCTTGTTCAGGTTTGGTGAATAAATTGTATAGTTTTGTCACTCATTAACCAATCAGTCTTCATCTGAATCTAAATAAATGCCTTCATAGCCTATAAAGCACCTCTCCCCTACCCCCAAGTTGCATTCTGTGTTGTAGAACTTGCATGCTTTTCAAGCAATCATGTGAACCTCATTCGTACACTAGAATGGAATATCCAGAGGTTGGAAGGAAAGCAGCAAGTTAAAACTATGCAAAAGGGGAAATAAAAAGGTCTGTCTGAATTTATTAGGTTTGGTTTAATGGTCTTTAAAAAATAAAACACAGCAGCAGCTTGAGTAAGTTTAACGTCTCAGGTCAGATCTTTTTGGAGTGAGTGACATTTTCTGCAGCATGATTCCATGATTGACACGCCAAGCTGTTTTGTGTTTCTTTTTCATGTGTGATTTGTGGGTGGCTCTGTTTATTGCGGGTTGGTGGGTGAACTGGTTTCTTATCATCATCATGTTGGTACTGGGATTTTTTAGATTCCTTTGCCTTTAGACCAAGTTGTGATTTGAGTTGTTTTCATTCTGTGCCCAGAAGCATGGATGTCTCATACATAAACATTAGCGTTATCACATTTGGGAAGTCAGGGATCTCTTTCATGGAAGTGAGTTTTAATTGATCCCTATATTTATTTCTCAGAGCACCCCTGTGAGGTGGGGCACTGTTGCTGTTCCTATTTTGCAGTTGGGGAACAGAGGCATAGAGAAACTAGCGACCCTCAGGGAATCTCTGGCAGAGTAGGAACTTGAATGCAGGCATCCCAAGTCCTAGGCTAGCGTCTTAACCACTGGACCAGTCATAAGCTTATCTACCTCCCGCCCCTGCCCCCTTTCTGGTGGGACTATCTCCAGGAAGAGGAGCATTATTTTGAACCAATACTTGGTAAGAATTGGAATAAAACCCCCAAAAGGAAAATAAGTGGGCAAGATATGTCATTAGAAAATTGAGAAGCCTGGAAACATATTTTAAATTTCTAGACACTGGAGTGCAGGACTCATTTAAAATATTTCAACTATATTGTAGCTTGACAGATCTTTGGTTTGCACATCAAACGATCTGTAATTTATTACACTGTGTAGGGACTGTGTTTTTATCATATTGCATATTCTCTAGCCAGAAATATAACAGGCATCTAAGCTCTTGAAAAAACCCATTTGGGAATCACAGTCCAGGCAATAGGCTTTCACAAACCCTGGGAAATTAACTTTGATTGATTTCCTAGAATATAAAGAGACTATGTGATTTCTAGGAATATGCTTGTTTTACAAGATGAAACCTTCATGTCTTTTTTCTCATGTCCAGTTTAAGGCCCTGATCCTCCAGTCAAGTCCAGGTATTGGGCCTTCTGGGGTTCTTCAGAGGGAGCTCCCTGCCTGAGTCTCAAGGTAGGATCAGAGTCAAAATTTGGAAGTGCAAGAGGCAGTAAAACTCAGCATTCTAGAAGGGGACAATCAGGCCCGTAAAGATGAAAGGCCGCCCAATGGCACAACACACACACAGGGTTTGCAGAATGGGAATCGAAGCTTCCACAGGCGTGTTTAAAGGTTGTTGGATTGACTGAGATTATGTATTCAGTACTTGCTGAGAGCAGTCGCGATGGAGGCAGTGCTCGCACAGGGTCATCTGGAAAGTGGGCAAAAGACTAGGATGTTACGGAATCTAATATAAACAAAACAGGCCTGGAAACTGTATCACACTCTTATGCCCCTGATGGAATGCCTGAATCCCAAGGGACCTACCAAGGTGGGGTTGTTAGCTTCCCTCCAACCCCCACCTTGGTAAAGCAAGATCATCCTGACTTAGTGGCTGGGAATACATCCCTGGCATATACTGTGGCATATACAGAATAATGACAGCCGTGCATTTGCTGAGCAGTTGGGACATCTGCAGGCAAAGGAAGTCAGTGTGTCTGCCCCACCTTTAGCAGATAGAAAGCCAGCAAATATGGTGCCCAAACTGTGTTGAGATTGCTGCTCTCCTTACAAGGGCTAGCAGCTGCCATGATGCTACTCAGGGGAAAGGGTGGAGTGGACTTAGGGAGACTATCATTTCCTGCAGTAACTGTAGCTCTTCAATGGAAAGTCATCACAGCATTCCGGCAATGATCAAGGTGTGGGCCAGGTGCCTGATGTCACCCGTGGCAATGCACCCGCTGACGGTGATATTTAAGAAGGAGCCGTGTGGCTGTTGTAAAAACGACTTTCCTGGATAATGTCAGTAGATGGTTTCAAGTGGGCATCTTGTTAAATGTGTTATGGGAGACCCTGAGGATTTCACAAGTCTTTCAGAAATGTATTTTCCACTCTGGAAAGCTAGAGACAGATTTGATGAAATCCCCTCCTGATGCATTGTATTAGACATTGCCGTATCTCCCGCTAACGTTGCATTTTAATCTGGTAACCAGATGATAGCATCATAATTAGCAAAATGTGTAAATTGCCAGATTTTAAAATAAAATGA